CTAAACCCTAAAAACCCTAAATCCTGGACACTAAAGCCCTAACTTTGGTTTTCGAGCAGTCGGCGAGCTGGCCCTAGCTAGGGTAACTCAGGCATCCTCCATCATGAAGAGGACACCGCCACCGCAGCCGAAAGTGGAGAGTCGCAGGAGTCGTCGTCCGAGCGCGAGTCTGTGACCTGTCCCATTCGCTGTAGGCGGTTTCTGTTGCTAGCTGTGCTAGTATCAGGTTTCTTGGTGCCATTGTTATGCTCCGTCCCTTTCCCTTGTTGCCGACAGCTAAGGGTTTTTGGAAGCACCGAAGAAGGAGATTTCCCAACGTTATCGTCGACACGGGTCGGGATGCAGGAAATGCGGCGGTAAACGTCGCAACGAACCCCATTGACACCTTGAAGGATGGCTACAACGCTGCTGCGAACAAGGCAGGGGGGGGTGTCTGATTGATCTGCCCTGCTTTTGGACGGTGCACTGTTGCTTTGCTGATGCAGTGCTGCAGCATCGTCCTAAACCCTAAACCCTAAACCCTAAATCCTAAACCCAGCATCGTGAGGCTGAATGGTTGAGGAACAACGCAATCTCGACCGTGGAGCAGGCCGTCGCGATTCTGAGCCAAGGGTTCTCAGACTTTGGGGCCAGCTGCCCCCACAGTTCTGCGCCTTCGATCAGAACATTCAACTCTCATGAGCTTAAAATCTTCTTTGGGGATCTCCGCTGCAAGATCAGCCTGATGGGGCAGTCGACCCCCTTGTTCGGACTCAACTTCGGCGAGCACAGAATTGGCTTGCCGAGCCAGTTTAAAATTCTCTTCCACGTGGGATGGGAGCTGGTGGACACCTGCAGGGGAACCCACAACCACATCGAGGTGACCAAGTGCCTTGCCAAATCGCTTGCGAGAGTCAGTCCTCCATTGGATTTGCTTCCGTCGCAGATGCGGATACTTTATCACCTAGGGTGGGAGCTGCAGAACACCTGCCACACCCACAACCACAAAGAGGTGACCAAGTGCCTTGCCAGATCGCTTGCCAAGTTCAGTCCACCAGTGGACTTCCTGCCCGACCCGTTGAAGAAAGTTGCTAATGGCCAAGTCTTGGATCTTCTGCCTCATCAACTGAAGAAAGTTGCCGACAACAAGATCTTGGACCTTCTGCCCGATCAGCTGAAGATTCTTTTCCACCTTGGCTGGGAATTGACTGGCAGCTGCAAGGGACACCACAACCACGTGGAGGTTACGAAGTGCCTTGCCAGCTCGCTTACGAAGGTAGGGAAGCTGGTAGACTTCCTTCCAGACCCGGTTCAGAAGGTCGCGAATGGAAAAGTTTTTGACCTTTTGCCCGATCAGCTCAGAATTCTCTTCCACCTGGGCTGGGAATTGTGGCACAGCTGCAAGGGAAATCACAACCACGTTGAGGTGACAAAGTGCCTTGCCAGATCGCTTGCAAAGTTCAGCCCTCCATTGGATTTCCTGCCCGACCCGTTGAAAAAAGTTGCCAGTGGTGACATCATGGGTCTCTTGCCGGGACAGCTGAACCAGATTGCCAGCGGCAACATCATGGGGCTCATGCCTGGGCCGATGCAACTTCTCGGAGGTGGACAGCCGAATTCCATCCAAAATATGCTTACCTTGGGCGACACGCTCATGGATTGTTCCGACTCCCAGCAAAGCGACCTTGTGAAGTGCCT